CCCCGGCTTTCGGCGATTACTCATTACCACAGTGCTCGCTTGCGAGTCTGATTGACCGGGAATCGGTGGTAAACCGTCCCGAACCGGACGATTGGGATGATACGGGTTATACGCGTGATGATGTGGTTGATGTGGTTGACCACCCATGAGCAGACGCTGATGTTGTGCGTGCGCCTGTGCTTGATGCGGCAGACCATGAGCACCGTGCGGATGATGTGAGGCCACGGGATGAGCGGATTGGGAATCACCGGGACGTAGATCGTTCTGACACTGAGTGTTCAGCTCTTTGGCTGGTCGTAAACTCTCCTCCAGACGACGATGTCGACAGAAAAATGGAATGGCTATGAGGACCACGAGGATGATGGCAAACAGGGCAGTGATTGGAACAATCACAGTGGGTTGTTGTAGTAGACCAGCTTGGCCAACCTGATGGGTTTGTCGGAGAACCGGTTCACCTGAGTAAATACAAAAGATGAGTCAGAACAAAATCACACGTTAGACTTAAACAGGCGTTTGAGAGAAAGTGAGAAAAATGGCATCGGTTCTGATGAATATATTGCACCTATTACCAGTAAAAATGTTTGGTTTGTAAACTAGTTATCATGAATTTCCGTTTCTATCCGAATAAATCAGTTCATTCTGACCGGACTGGGTTCTGATAGATCCGGTCCAATCGGTTATGGCAGAAGCATCAATTTTTGTTTTGAGGAGAGGGTTCCTGTAGAAAGCAATTATTTCGATTCACTTGGAGTTGCTTGTGGTAATCAGAATAGTACTGAATGTAGGAATACGAGAACCCGTCATGTACTGCTCAGAACTGGATTGGCTCCAACCCGAACTGTGGACACCAATGAAATACATGAGGAATTGATAGCAGCAAATGCTTATGTTTATTGATGGAATTAGATCATGTTTTATAGAATGTAATAGTCCATATGATTGGTTGAACGAGCATCCCTCAATCACGTAACCGACGCACCATATGTACTAACTCGGATATCATGTTCGCCTGGTGTACCATTGGTCGAGCTTCCTGAACGGTGATTGGATGACATAAAACTGTACCTGGNNCGCTTCCTTTTGTCTCTTTCTGTGCTCCTCAATCGCTTGATTCTTTCTTTCATTCTTGCTGGTATTGTTGTTGTTGTTGTTGTTGTTGTTGGTGGTGGTGGTGGTGGTGGTGATGGTTAGGAACAAGCACTCAGTCTGTGCTCGTAAAGCACAATTTTTCGAGTCCCGTGTTTCCAGTGGTATACTGAGTAGATTTTTAAATTACTCGCTCATATCATTGTGATCAATCGAAATAACCGTTCAATAAGCTTGCCGCTCTCAATTCACATGTCATGAATCCGCAGTGATTGGATTTCTCTTCCATAAACCTGGAATTTTTGCCAGCAAATATTATATCATTCGTCACAAAACGGTGCAATATGCTTAAAATGGGGTACGCAAATAGAATGAGACTTTTGAACGGTCCAGGACACACATAAGATTATTCGCCTGATCAATACTGGAAAAAAGAAAGCTACTCACGTCCGAACACGGTCAAAGTCCAGAATTGACCCTGAACACTGACTGAGCCAGCTGGATTGGTGGCCACGACTTTGTAATGATAGTGTGCACCGGAACTCAATTGCGTAACATTGTAACAGCAGCTTTATTGCAGAAAAAAGGGAACAGAGAAAACATTGAAACATATCCAGTCAGTAGTACTAGACCAAAGATTGTTCGCAATTTTAGACCAATATGAACGATATACGATTCACCGGGGTGAATAAACACATCCAACTGTCGATACTACTTGGCTAAAATGAGGCTTCATATTGAGTAGTATAATACTATGCCGTGAATTGAACTAGGAGCACCATATCAACAAGTCAGTCTATGCATAATTATCAGAAGCTGATGGAAAATATGTGATAAAGTACAGAAATATATTTTACACACGTCTGAATCCAGATTGTGTGCCAGGTAGATCATGGTAAAATAATCTCCAGAAAAAAAGAAAAACCTTCCATGGTTTTCATGCGGGCAGAATACTGCAAGGTTGCCAAGGCCAGGTGAATTTTTATAGGAATTCATAAACGTAGCCTTCAGCTGGCCAAAGCCTGATCGGTAAGGCAGCGGGGTGGTGTGCGAAAACCATTCGGGGCTGGAGTCCAGTTCATCGGATCATACAACCTTCGGACGGGGTCAAACGTCCAAGGTGCCCAATACACCTCGATGCCCAAACGAGCCGGTGACCACTGCCACACCGAGGAGAGTGAGGATCAGTGTGGTTCTTAAGCCTCTTCATGGTTGGTTTGAAATCAGGATTTTGGCCAACTTCCCTAGGTGAACTACCAGTGGTCCACCAATCCAATTGTAGCCATAGATGTCGGCTTTTCGTCCTCTCACATAGGTGGGAAAACACCTCCACCAGGAGAACGCAGTGAGCAGAGCTTTCTCAGCAAAGGCGTTTTGAGACACTTGGTCGTATGGGAGCATTTCGCGAGTTGCAAGAGAAGGACGAGCAGTCTCAACCCTAGACATCCACGCCCGACGATAGTGAGGCTTTCAAGTACAAACAATCATTCTAGTTACCTCGACTGATCTCAAGCTACCGCGCACATGAGACGACGATCCGAGTTCGAACTACTACCTACTTTTCAGGTCCTCGACAGAAACGAACTGAAAAAATGATGCAGAGCGACGAACCACAGATAGTCCTCAACAAATAAACCGGCGATTGATCATTCAACGACATGTGGTATGCCAGAGTGCATTTCGGGGGTATACACTTTGAGGGACGAAACTTTCTTTCTTTTAATTGCCGTGTTCAACAATTGACTACTTCGATATTTGTCAGTAATCAGTTTAGGTGGAGTCTATTGCTACTAGGCCTAAGCAGGATTTTTGCATGGATCGCGTGTGTTTCTCATCTCATCTATGGGCACACTTCTAGCATGTCCAATTTGTCATAAGAAGTGTCGGATATGTAATGAAATTCAAGCGAGATCCTCGAGGAACCTGTTTACTTCTACTTGACTCCTGAGATGTTTACAACGAGTTACAATAGGGAACAACCGAAATGTCTCAAAACCCCGGAGTTGCTAAATAACAATTTGGGCCTTTTCTGTGGATTAACCAGTTGCATTCCCCAAACAAAAATATCTCATGGCATTGAATGTCTCTTCAGCTTTCCAACGAAAGAACATAGGATCCCTGGGGAAACGAGTAACTTAATTCGAAATGAACCCCCGCGTGGTCTCCATTCACCGGTAGTGTCGAAGTACACAAATGCAATCAGTTCAGTTCGGTTCTTACAACCATTAACCATGCACCTTCGTGCGCCGGTTTCGGTTGCTGTGTTTTGGTTGCCCATTTGGATAAAACAGCAGAATGGTGATTAGAATGTTGAGAGCAGATTTAAGCGGAAGATAGCGCATTTACATTGGCTGAGGCTACAAGAATAACGAGTAGACGCATGAGTGCCACTGTTTGCGACACTCAGCCATATCGTTGAGTGTCATCTCGGGGTCCCCAGCGAAAGCGTCTGACGGGACCGATGTGAACCAGTCTCCTCGTCAGGATTCTCATACCATCATGCCAGGTCTTAGCTTGACCACTCTTGACCTTTTTCCAACCGCTACCTACCTCGGCGAGCATCGCTCGCCATGGCAACCTGTCTGGTGGCATGCGCAGCCCACATCTCAACCAGCCTCATCTATGGAAGTCGACTACTTGCTCCAATGGACGACCGCGCTAACCTAGAACTCTACGCCTAACCTCAGCATTTCTCGTCCGGTTTCCCCATCAGACTTGTTCAATGCGGCGTAGACAGCGGTGTTCGAACACCGACAATCTATTTCTATCCGGTTCCCGTAAAGCACTGTAGAACAGAACTGGCCAAACTACTGCAGCATATACTTGACCCTTTACAGACAGCCGGATGTCACGACGGCGCCACAAATTTCTCAAGCTGGCAAATACCAACGCAGCCTTCTGTATGCGTGCCGACACTTCATCTGTGATGCGTCCGCTAAATGGGATACAGCTGCCCATATAGCAAAACTTGTCTATATCCTCTATTACTTCCCTAGTCAGGGTGATGTTGGAGACTGGACCAACCCAATCTTTAAACAGCATTTTACAAGAAGTAAACACTAGAACAATCGTAATTTCCGTAATTTAGATCCCAAACAAAAATACCTCATGATATCGCACCTTTCAAAACAAACAACAACGGATCCCGTGACCCCCTCATTCACCATAAGTGTCAAAGTACATAGATATAATGGCATTTACGAGTTAAACTAGTCAAATACTGCCAGCACACCAACACATCTTGAATGAATGAATAAATGAATGAACAGCACTCAGTTATTAAACCAGTTCCGGTGTGAGAACAACGGTTGCCAAGACAGGAGCGGATCGCATCGTGGGGAAACACACACACACTCACCGACTGAGTCCATCTAAAGTGATCAAGTCAGCTCGAGTCAGAGTACGATTGATTAACGGCTCCTTCAATCCGAAATGGCCATCTTGAGATGGGGCGATTAGAAGACGATAGAACAATGGTGGACATCCGTTACCGGGCAAAAAACTGGACAGATTAAAACTGACTGTGGTTTGTTGACGAAGCTGGTTGGGAATCAGTTGGGCAGCATTCGCGGCTAACGGAGCTGATCAAACAGGAAGGGGAAAAGTGAGACGGAAGGAGATTAGTTCCCTGTAATCATGAATGAGAAGAAAACAAAACGGCAATAAATTTTTTTGATGTGGCAAACAATCGTGTTTCCAGACATTCTATCGATCTCTTAATAAGAAGATTCAGAAAATCGTATCTTTACTGATGTAATGATCTAGTAATGATAGTGACAATACGTATATTTATCAACCACGTGCAAACATGCAAGATCGATTCGTTCAATTGGTCGAACCTTTTATCGATTTTTTTAAACTTTTGTCGCCTGGTCATAACTGAATTCATTTATTCGATCAGCAAAGGCTTCAATGACCAAGAGATGAAAAATTGTTTGTTTGAGACACCGATTGATTTTAGGATAAACAGCTCTTTCAGAGCCAATCCATTGCAGAATCAATGCTATGATTCGATGGTTTTGGGAGTGGGTTAGATGCTACTAGCCGCAACAAACGTGACTTGATCTTTATAGAATGTTCCATAATAGCTAGTATATGAATGAATGGGAAAAATCTCACTGGAAGCACACGACCGGTTTCGCGGTTCTTGTGGCTCAACTCTTATCAAGTTTTTCATATACTACTTGCTTGGAAATATTCTACGATGTTGCTCAAGTCACGTTTGTTGCCGTTAGTGGCATCTAGCACACCTACAAAAACATCGAATCGTAGGACTGATTCATAAATGGACTGGTTCTGAACGAACTGTCTAAACAGACTGACCCGGAGTTGCAAACGAATTTATTGTGCGAAAAATATACACCACCTGGCTAGACGGATATGAATGAACCGGCAAAAGATTACCGGATATGCATGCCTGACGAGCGGCAAGAACCGCGAAACCGGTCGTGTGCTTCCAGGGAAATTTTCTTCAGTCATTCGCATACTACTTATTGTTATGAAATATATATATATAAATATACATCACTTGTAATTGTTCGATACATTTCATGGTTGGATCTGTCGGTCGGTTCAACATCGTCACTACTATATACGAGGAATGGATTCGCAAGCACGGATGCACACACGCACGCACTTACATGACGCGTTGGTGTGACTGGCCTGATTCACTTGCACGCGCATACACAGACACAGACATTGACATGTCCAGCTAGTCACAGACACGATCACCTTGACTCACTCATAATCTCTTGCACACACACACACACACTTGACACGGAGAGCCTCAAATTTCTATTTTAGCATCGTACCATGATAACATCGTTGTGATACCATGGATACGGTGGAACAATACCGGGCACCTTGAATTGCCACTTACCAGAACCGAGTGTGGTCCAAGAGGTCACATCTGTCAGCGAACTGTTGCCCACCTTGTTCTCCGCACACAGCTGGAACCGGACAGTGGTCGCGCATGTCAAATTCGACAAGTAGTATGTTCGTTGATCTGCGGGCAACCGGATACTCTGACTGATACCGGTGTACAAATTGGTCCAGTTCAAGTGAAACCATAGAATTGGCGCGTCTAGCCGAGTTGAACCGGGAGAGAGCCATTCGGCCTGGATTCCGCGTAGACTGGGCGTGAATTTGTGCCATATTGGTTTTCGTGGTGGTTCTAGGATGCACGGTAAAAGCAACGGAAGGTTCAGCATTCGAACTTGGGGTGTGAAGATAGAAAATACGCNCCCCTCCCCCCCCCCTTCCTTCAAGAGAGGAGCAGCCCAATCTAACCGGGAAAAAGGTATCACATGTAATTGAATGAGTATATCTTTGGTTCAGTAAACACAACATCAAAATACAACGTGAACTCACCTTCAACAATTTCTGCAAATGAAATGAAAAATGAAAAAGGGAGTCAGTGGTTTAACTCAGATCCATCGGATGAAAATAGAGGAAATCTATCTACCTCAAACTCGAATTAAATCCTTCACTACTGTTATTTTTTGGTTCCACATATTTGTGTGATCAACAGATCCCATAGTCGTGTACACCTGTTGTTCAGTTCAGTTGAAATCGGCAACTTAAGAAGCTCCGCGGGACATGTAAGGCCCCGCGGTTAGGTTAGGCGAGGTATAGAATCGGGCGACGGCAAAGCTGCCCACCACCGGTGGTCAGCTTCGGAATATTTCCAGCCAAATCAAAACTGTGGAGACTGGTGGTGAGATGAGCGAGGTGTGATAAAAAAACTGAATGTGAGAGAACCGGTATTTGTTGCTAGTAACAATAACTCCAAAACGTTCGAATGAAAAAAAAACAACTTTAAAGGTTACACTTTATTTAAATGGTTTTCCTAATTCGATATATCACTACTGTATAAGTTATGCAATCAAGAATCTTAGTCGACAGCAGTAGGAACAAATCACGATCGATATCCAACTTCCCTATCGACGTGCGAAACCCGTGTTCAACATCTTCGAGTGTACGAATCTGCTACTTCAATTGCCAAACCGATTCTCACTTAGTTTGCACAACACATCCTGATCCCATTGCATAATGAGCGAAGATCTGGCAACAAGAGCAGCTTGATATTCCATCAATCTGTCATTTTTATTTCACTCAATCGGATCGCGAAATACGTCCATGATAATAATTAGGAGTATGAAAAACATTGCCAACCGGGGATCAGGAGAGCGATCCCGAACTGCAATCTATCTATCTATCTATCTATCCATCTATCGGCCCTTATCTCTGCAGTTACCGCGCCTATCGAGCCACGACATGCAAGGCTCCAGCTATTTCACCAGATGTCTTTGGGCTCTTTGTACCCCCGTTTCGAATTGTCGATGGTGTCCTCTATTACCAAGACAGATCAGATTACATGCGTCGTATCATGGTCCCTCCAGTAACCAAGGATGCCATACTAACCCGCCTGTACGAGTAACTCGATCATGCCGAGCAAAACAAGCTCGAAGGGGCTTCCCGCTGACGATTTTGGTGGATTCACATACGGCGCGACATACGCCTGTACCGCGAATCCTGCCCTTTGTGTAACCAAATCAAGAGCCCAACACCTGCCTCCCGTGCACCGCTCCAACACCTCATTGCATGTTTCACCAACGAGATTGTAGCCGTCGACCTCATGGGCCCATTGTCGCTGACGAAAAGTGGGAACCTTTAGATCCTCGCGACGGTCGGCCATTTCACGAAACAGTGAGGCGGCACCGCTGCACAGAACGGACGCTTGGACGGTAGCAAAAGCAAATTTCATCGAATGGTTCGCTGGATGGGGTGTGCCTTATCAACTACTCACCCCCACCAAGGCTCCAACTTGAAAAGCCTACTGCTTCGTGAGCTCTGCCAAATTTGAACATCAAGAAAACGTGCACAACAGTTTATCACCTCGTCGAACGGACTAACCGAGTTGAAAGAGAATACAAGTTGCGCAAATTGCGGGAACTTATCCAAACTGAGAAAAATTTAGCGCTATGTTAGGTCATGGTAGCGGGGGAGGGACAAGACAATGTGTAACGATGAAGCATTCACATTATGTGTATGTTTGCTTGATTTGTGTGTGTGCGGAACTTATCGATCGGATCTTCCTTCAACCATAGAACGAACATTTTGTGACCTCTGAACAAAGGCACGTGACGCGTTGAAACGGAATAGCGTTATTCCCACTCGGGAACATACCTTGTACTGTGAGAGTGTAGAAAATTTTGTCCAAACCAGTAAAACACTCGTATTTTCCGGAATGCATCACGTTCGCACTTTCAATGAGCAATGTCCCATTTTCAAACACTTCCAAGCCGCTATTGGGGATGGAGAAAAAATAGAGGAAAGGAAAAACAGATAAGCGGNATAAGCGGATGTGTGCATAATTCGGGAATGCATCGTCAACCGGAACGAGATCAACAATGGAACTGTGTTGTTGCGAACAACCGCAACACTGATTCTGATTGTCACTGTTCATCCAGCCAACTACAGACTGGAGAAGTACCAGAGCTCGTCGACCGTGTAGCTTAGGGTTCGCGGTTCGAGTCCTGACACGGGGACACAAAGAGGACGCACACTGCTGACGAGTCAAAAAAAAACAGGACGAAACAGCTATGTCCAGTGCTCTTTGTGTGTCGGTTATCACAAACATTTCGATTGCATTTAAATATCAGACTCGAGTTTCAACCTCAACACAACTCAATAAAAGTGCGTGCATATCCACAGTTCCATTTGTAATGCGAACCTCGTGAAAAATGATTTTCTTTTTTCAATACTGAATAAAACTTAACCGCGGTTTTTCTCATACCAATACTCATTTGTAACTCCCAACGGGACATGAATTATCAATTCGTAAATTACGAGGTTCAATTGGTGAAGCATACTTAAACCAGGCATGATGCAGATATGATGACAATGATGGTGGCGATGCTGCTATCGCTGATGATGGTATAGAGTGTAATAGTATTCAGTGAAGAGAAACTTGTTAAAATGAGATCGAATATGAATCGGTCATGATAAACTCACTCAAGATTATCGTGAGGATAGTTCCACTGAGGCTGATAACCTCCAATGACCAAACAATCCATGACAACGCGCATTTTGTTCTGTACAAGCAATTTTCCTCCGATCGATATGATACCCAGAGGAGCTGACACGTGGAAAGAAAACAATCAAAAAATATGAACGATAGGGGGGGAGTCGAATCTTTATCTAGACATCATCTAGGCATCATCCAAGACCAGCATACAGTACTGGTCGATTGTGATGCACTGAAATATTTTCTCTATGATCAAATGGAGTTCCATTATATTTATTACTTGTTTTAATGCTTTATGTATGGGCAGTAATTTATATCCTGTCTACTGGGATCTAAGTAGTTTCTAGGCTGCATAATTGTCAATTAAACATGCGTGACCTTGGTTGCTAAGATTAAANTAAATTCATATTCATATTCCGTTTTACAAAGAAGAATGAAAAAAATTTAAGATGCGTCAGGTTTCAGCTGACGTAAAGCCAGCATTGAACGCGCACCAA